GCCCGCCTCTGGACCGGCCCCCCCGCCCCATGCCACATCCGTTAACTGCCCCACCCCCCATGGTCACTCTAAGTCCCGCCCCCCAGCCCCAGTTCACGGCCCCTCCCTCCATTCACCCTTCCCGTTGCCCCCGCCCCACCCTTCTCCCGCCCTTGCCCCTTGGCCCCGCCCTCTCCAGGGCAAGTTGTCCCCCCGTCGCACTTCTGCGCACGCGTGGCACCTTCCGCGCGCGGCACCTGGGAGGACCGAGCCCCTCCTTTACGGGGCGGCGGCCGTTGGCGGTTGGTGAGAGGGAGTCGGCGGGCGTGCGCGCCCGCTCCCCATGCACGTCCCTTCTCGCGCTTCCAGGCGGGTGCAAGGACGAAGGGAGCTAGTACTCGGGGCGGCGACGTCACGGAGAGCCAGCCAATGGGCAGCGGGCGGGCAGAGCCCGGGCGGTTCGAACCCGAAGGCAGGGAAAGGGCGGGAGGAAAGAGCCAGCAGTTTGTGGGAGTGCGCGCTGGGCCGCCCCTAGACTCCGCTTCCCAGCCCCACCAAGGGAGCGTTCTTGCCAGGGGTTGGGGTGGCCAGTGGTAAAGGTGAAACTTAACTAGTGACCGTGGAAGGGTGTGGATCACTAGTTGCACAACTCCTTGACGTGACGATGGTGGACAGGCATTAGGAGGGAAAGATGATTTAGACCAGGGCCCAGAACAGGTGACAGCTGAAGGGAGAAAAGCCCAAGCCCTTGCCCAGCAAAACACAAAAACGTATGGCAATGGGACAAATCCACAGCTCCCATATTAACAGATAGGAAAAATATCTTCCTCCTTGGGCAACAGCTACTAAAACCTTTATTTTATTTTTTTAAAAACTGTTCTTTATTTGATACGCCCTCCACCCAATAAAGAATCCCTCAGCAATCCCCCTTCCCCCAAACACACACGGCCCCCTCGTGCCCCCAGACACACACACACACAGGATCTGGATCCATCTTCACTTCTTGTTGGCCTGGGCAGTACCAATAATACACTGGTTTACCTGGGGGCAAGGGGTTAGATAGGATAAAAAAGTTTGCAGAATAACCAAAAGGACAGCTTTCCCAAGAGCTCCTCCCACCCCCCAGTGCGAGGGCTGCCCTCAGGGAATATTGAAATAAGGGCTCTGAAGGTAGGTTCACGCTAGTGCCAGTTACAGAGGAGGTGAAAAGGCCTGAGAAGACATGGAAGCTGAGAGAAAGGGCTTCCATTTCCAGCTATACCCTGGACTAGAGACCCCAAAACCCCCCAACTATAACCTAGACAAAATATTAACAACACCCATTTAGGTTCTGAGCCTTAGAAAATGGATCATTCCAAGTCTGGGGAGGAAATGTACAAGATGAATCTGATACAAAGATTACTGAGATGCTGTCTAAAGGACCCAGGGGCCAACTTGAAGGGGCTCCTATTGGCTAAAGATAGGGCAATTTGACCATCAGAAAGAATGACTGAAAAGGATTCACAGACATCAAATACATAAACATCTGTAAAATGATACACCCCAGGTAAAATCTCACTGATCACTTTTCGAAGTTGCTAGGATATCAACTTATAACAATGAAAATAAAGAATCCAGCATTTATCTTGCTTTTCCTATATGGACTGAATTTCAGAGTAACCAAAGATGGTAAGGGAAAGTTCTTCATAGAAGAATCATGGCTAATGAATGCAGAACTGAGATTAGAAAATCACCATTTTAAAAAATTCTAATGACATACCAGACAGCCACAAAAAAAGAAAAAAAAGCTAAACAAACAAAAAACAAACAAGAAAAACCTAATGAATCTGGGTATGATCATTGTTTGATAAAATCACTAAGTAAAAAAGTCAATGAATGGATTAGGCTGACAATACCCCAAATCTAATGATCAGTATTGATATCATTAAAAGTAGAACTAAATATTAGGTGCCTCCTAATATGACATAATAGGAAGTGTACTGAACCATCTATTAAGTTTTCTTACCAGGAAATTTGAACTTTATTCAAATGTAATCAAACCTCTAAATCTAACTACCAGATAACAAAAAGTATGGGGGGAAGAGTAAACAACCAGCCAAAATCCAGAATATGGTATATGACCCTACTTCTTTAACAAATAAATGGCATAAAAGTGGGCGGTGGGGGACTATTACAGATTAAAAGAAATTTAAGAGATATTTCAACCAAATGAAGTCGGTGGACCTTGCTTTGATCTTGATTTGAACAAACCTAATGTATAAGAGACATTTATGAAACAATTGGGTGACATTTAATATAAACTGGGCATTAGAGAAGTTCATGTTGAGTGTTGATGTCATTAAAATATTAATATAAAAAGAATAACAAGGGCCGACCCCGTGGCGCACTCGGGAGAGTGCGGTGCTGGGAGCGCAGTGGCGCTCCCGCCGCGGGTTTGGATCCTATATAGGGATGGCTGGTGTGCTCACTAGCTGAGCACGGTGCGGGCGACACCAAGCCAAGGATTGCGATCCCCTTACCGGTGAGCGCAGTGGCGCTCCCGCCGCGGGTTTGGATCCTATATAGGGATGGCTGGTGCGCTCACTAGCTGAGCGCGGTGCGGGCGACACCAAGCCAAGGATTGCGATCCCCTTACCGGTCACACACACACACACACACACACACAAAGAATAACAAAAAAAAAGAAAAGCAAAAAAATTTCTTAAAGTCAGAAAAAACACCATCACCTTGTTAATTGAACTTGCAAGATAGTGAGGGAAATCCTGATTAAAACAGAAGACCAGAGTAGAGTGCAGAGCAGGGTATAGGTGCTGAGGTAGCTGGCTACTTCATGGCAGCAACCAGTGCTGACTTGGGGGAAGCCTGAGCATGGCAGAGGGGCAGATCTGATCAGACCCCAAATAAAGACAGACCCCACTGAAGGGCTATACCCTCAGGGGAAGGGTGAACCAGAGGGAAAAAAAATTTACCCCAGAGGCAGACATTAAGGAAATTTTCTGACTTGTTTAACTCCAGTGGAGGAAGTGTGTCTCTCTGAGAATTCATGGCCACCAGCTGACCTTTGTGGGGTTTGGAGCCTGCAATCACACTCTGTGGAATGGTCTGAAAAACCTATGTCTCCTTTGATCCAGCAATCCCATTTCAAGGAATATTTCCCTAGATAGATGTAACTAAAAAACCACAAAATGACATATGTATAAGGTTAGTCAGCTTGGCCTTGTTTCTAACAGAAAAAGCGGGAAAGCAATCCAAGTGTCCAGTAGAGGGAACTGGTGGATAAATTTTGGTGCATCCACACAGTGGAGTCTTAGGCAGACCTAAAAATAATGGGATGATCTCTGTGCATTGATGGGGATTACTCTTGGAGCTATTCTGGAAGCAAAACAAACAAGGTGCAGAACTATATATATGTGAAAGAGAGGGAGGGAGATGCCTTTCATATAAGAAGAAGAATACATATAAGAAGAAGAATACAAATAGCCTGTATTTGCAAAAAGAAACAATGGAAGGATAAATAAAATAATAGATGACAAAAATGACTATATGGAGTGGAGGATGGGGTGGACAGAAGTGGCAGTAAAAC